TAACACACCCAAGGGTAGTACAAACAAGATGTTATAAGAAATAACATACTGATGCAAATGTCTTTTGGTAAATGTTAGAGATATATCTAACAAATTTCATAAATCTAAAAGCAAGGTCTTCCTTCAAGAATTGAAAAGTATGGGAAATACACCCTGGCCGGTGTGGCTCACTTGGTTGGATCACCATCCCATAACTGAAAGGTTGTGGGTTAGATTCCCGATCAGGGCACATACCTAGGTTGCAGGTGTCAAACCTGGCGCAGGCACAGGTGTACGTGAACCCTGGTCTGGATGCATATGATCCCCAGTCCCAGTGCACACAGGAGGCAACCGATGGATGCTTTTCCCTTGCATTGATGTATCTCGCTCAACCTTCCTCTCACTTTAAAAGCAATGAAAAAAAAAAGTGAAAAGGATTTAAAAAGAAGTGAAAAGTGAATTCAGTAGAGGAGATGACAATGATGCTGAAAAGACTAAAAATCCAGACTTGGTGTAATAGGGTTTTATTTGAAAAGACAACAAAGGTTGTTGCCGACTGCAAGTTTCAAATGCACCAGAAATTACGTGGGGTTGCTTACATGGTTCTTTTTTTTTTTTTAAGATTTTATTTATTTACCTTTAGAGGGGAAGGGAAGGAGAGAGGGAGAGAAACATCAATGTATGGTTGCCTTTCATGCATCCCCTGCTGGGAACTGGCCTGCAGGGAACCAGCCTGCAACCCCAGTATGTGCCCTGACTGGGAATTGAACCGCGATTGTCTGGTTCGCAGGCCCGTGCTCAATCCACTGAGCTACACCAGCCAGGCATGGTTCTTGATGATATTAACAAAAGCACAGTTCCTAGGTGTCTGCAATCAGAGATCTATTCTTTGTTGGTTGGACCAAATCTGGAACAGTGTTCAATTCATGGGACCACATTTTTAAAAAATTATTTATCTTTAGAGGGGAAGGGAAGAAGAGAGGGAGAGAAATATCAATGTATAGTTGCCTCTCCTGAGTCCCTTGCTAGGAACTGGCCTGCAACCCAGGCATGTGCCCTGACTGGGAATGGAACAGCGATTCTTTGGTTCGCAGGCCCATGCTCAATCCACTGAGCTACACCAGCCAGGGCTCGTGGGACCACATTTTAAGAAGAGGATTGAGAAGAGTAGAAAGAAAGAAGAGGAACTGCTTTGAGGAGAGAACTAAAGAATACAGAACTTCCTTCATATATTTGAAAGCAATTACATAGAATGAGCTCATCCTATGTTCCTCTAAAAGACAACACTCAGACCAGAATATATATATCATAAGAAGAGGACTTCAATCCAACTGAAAAAAAATTAATTACAGTTCAATGTACAGTATTAGTGAAGTTGCCATCACTAAAGGATTTAGATAGAGTGTGGAATTTCAGGGAGGAGTTTCCAAGTGTCCCTCCACAGGAAGGTTGTGTTGAATCAACTCTCTACGATTCAATTTTCTATTCACACCTAGAGAGCTTCTGAGAGTAGCCACCTACTAAAGAAAACAGGACGTGTTATTTGCAGTGATGACCCTGATTCATAAATAAAATATTAAACTGTTATTAGCTATACATCACTGAACATGGTTGGAGCTGCAGACACTTCCCAGACTCTGTTTACTTGTTTACTTGTTTTCTAGTCATTGACCAAATTAATGTGGGAATCAGACCTGGATAGGTAAGTCTGGCTGATGGGTAGAACTATCCAGTGTCTATCAGAATGCAAGATTCGAGATAGGAATGCCAGTTGGAAATACACTCATCTCCCAGGAAGATAGGGTCAGACACATCAGCAAGACTTCCTGACAGTCTCAGTCATCAGCTGGAGCAATGTTCTGAACAGTGCTTCTCACCTAGATTCATTTTCCAGCCTCCTGTGAATACACGAATGCCTTGGGGGCAAAGTGGACTGTGAGCAAGACCTAAAAGAACTGTGACTAAAATGCCTGTTAGACCTTAGAGTGCAAGATAACACTGCTGTGGTGCCCATATGACATATTACAACACAAAGGGAGGTGTTCTTTCTCTTTCTGCTCTGAACACAAACTGGCTTGGCCCAAGAACACAGTGCCACTGCTTTATGAGGGTTCCAGCACCTCACCCCTGCCTAAGGCAGCACTGTGACTTGGTAAGGGGGAGCGCCCAGAAAAAGGCAATTAGGGTATGTCCAATGGTCAAGGACCTGCATTTATTTCTGCCTGCAGTGAGGCTTCAGAAGCTAAAGAAAGAAGGTAAAGGCTTCTTCATTAGCATACTGGAATGTCTCAGTCATTTCCAGTAATAAAAGGGGGAGAATTGGAGCGTGGAATCCCCTCTGGAGAAGGTGACAATAAGTAGCCATTTCTACAAAGTAGCCAGTTCATGATTCTAAACACAACCTGTCTGTAAATTAAATATATCTACAAATTCTTTGATACGTCTTCCATTGAGAGATGGGATCTAAATCCCCTGTCCTTGAATTGGGGCTGAACTTCGTGACTTACCCATACCCAATTAAATGCGGCACAAGTGATGCTGTGTGACTTGGGAGGCTAGGTCATTTGATGCAATAAATTCAGTTTGTACCTTGCTTACAGGGACACCAGCATTTGGAGCCCCTAGCCAAATTGCAAGAAGTTTGACTACCCTGAGGCAAACACGCCACAAGGAAGCTCAAGGCACGTAAAGAAATCATATTTAAGTATTTCTGGCTGGCTGCCCCAGCTGAGGTCCCAGCTCCGACCACCAGAAATTTCCCATATGTGGAAATATGCCTCCAGATGATTGCAGTCCCAACCTATTGAGACACCCCACCGCGCCCCCGCCCCGGGGCCTGAGTCTTCCTAGATGAGCTCCCAGACATCCTGCAGCATAGACAAGCCATCTCTTCTGTGCCTTGACTGACTTCTGACTGACGGGGTCACTTTATATTTTCTAAAGGGCAAAACTATCATATTTTATCCTCATAATGATACATTTAGGAAGGTTGGACTGGTATCAATACCACCCTCTCTTTAGAGATTAAAACAATAAAAACCAGGGATATGAGCTTACCTGCTTTGAGATTATATAGCCAAAAATGTGGCATGCCAACTAAAATCCTGATCTTTGAGCTCTAAAGTTTATGTTTTCTTTATATTTTCCTATCTGAGTATGGTGGAGCTTTAGAATGGTCTAGGGAAACCAAATAAAATGTATCCAGAATTTGAAGACAAGGTCAGAAAGTGTTGAATAAATGGAAGCTAAGAAAAAGCAGTATTAAATCAATGTTATCAGCCATTCTGAGGAGAAATAACCATGTAAGACATGATTTATAGATTGTTGCTGGAAAGGAAGGCTATAATTTAAAATGGAACCAATGGAAAAATCATCTTGGACTTTTAACGTTATGAGGCAGTGCTTTAATGATGTAATATTTTCAGAGGATGATTTTAAAAAGTGAAATAAGACTGTGAGAGGATTTTAAAACCTGCCCGTTATATTTCTGATGACTTCAAGAGGGAAAGGTGCCATGACTGGCTGATGGTGCTACTTTAGTCTGCTTAGAAGTACAGTAAAGAGGGGCACTCCAAGGCAACTGCTTGATGACATTATCCCTTTCAATCATCTTCACATATCCTACTTTTCCGAGCTGCCTTTTAACTTATATTTAGTTCCCCAAAGAGACTTTCCTTCTTGGAAACGAAAGTGCAATGATACTAACAAAGCCTATCGTGCTCACCTGACAGGTTGTATTCTGTACATTTCGATGTAGAGGGATATCAGTACTCTGATCCATTAAGCAGTCCCCACTAACTACTTACCTTGGGAGTAAGGGTCAGCTCCTGGCTGGGCTCATCAACTCTATCAACAGACAGACATCCTGCTTCAGAGGCCAGTTGGACAGGTTTCTGTCTCTTGAATCACCCTCAGTACAGTAAGGAGGTCACCGGTGACGTCCCCATTCATGGGAAGTACACAAATGCCAAGTCCACTCAAGGCTTTTCATGACTTGATGTGTAGGCTCCTTTGGCTTCAACGTTCCTACCACCTAGGGGCCCACAGGAACTTCCACTGTGTCCGTCACTCCTAGTTCTCCTTTGTTTTCTTCCTTCAAAATAGTCCTCCTTTCCTTTCAAACAAATGTATTTTTAATAATAAACCAGACTTCTTTCATTCCATTCCGTCACTGGGGCCTCGCAGAAGGATTTTACCTCTCCTTTCTTAATGGTTTTCGTGCATATTTTGCACAGAGTGCCTTGGAATGTTCTGTTTATGAAAGGCGCGAAAATATTTAAAATATTTTGAATGGTTTTCTTCAAAACAGAAACGATCAAAGTTTTGATGCTTCAGAGCTCTAGAATGTTCTGTGCTTTGTGCGGGTCCTAATACATGGCAAGTGCCCCCACACGGACATTTGTTAAATGAATGAACCTGGAAAGCGAACATATTCTAAAAGGAAACATTTTATTCCTCAATGATGGCAGGACGCGACGGTGGGGGCGTGGAGGGGACTTTTATATTTCCCTTTAGACCCAACTTTAACAGACCAAATCCTTTCGTGAAAAGGATACAGGCGTCATTCTGTAATTTGATCATTCCTAAATATGTTTCTACCCAATTCTGCTCGGCTGTTTCAACCTCGGGGGTTTCCAGTCTAATTTTTATGACAGAGATGTTCGTTGTAAAAGAAATAACACAAGTAGCTCGGGCTTCTCCGTCCTCCCTCCAGGATTTCAACTTCTCGAACACCAAGCAGCCCTGCTCGTGAGCGCTACGTTGTAGAACAGGCTCTGGACGGAGAAGAGAGTAAAGTGGGGAACCGAAGCCACGGCAACGCTGGACGAAGACTGCCAAGCGCCACCGCCACCGGGGGCAAGCGCGAAGGAAACCTCCCCAGCCGGGGGCGCGAGGGCGCTCCAACGATTACGTCACGCCCCGCGGGTGACGCCACGACCCACCGTGACACGCGGGTGACGCGGTTGCCGCGGCGACTTCTAGTGGTCTCCGCCCCCTTCCCCCCGCCCCCAGCCTAGCGTCCTTCCCCCCAAACCCCTCAGGCTCGGCCGCACCGGGGCCGCGGGCCGGTTCCTGAGGTGGCCCAGGCGCCCCCGCCCCACCGCCGGCGCCGCCTCGGCTGTCCCTGCGCCGCCCCCCCGCCCTCCGCCTCCGCCTGCCCCCGCCCTCTGCCGCCCTGCCCCCTCCCCGCCCAGCAGCGGTCGCTCGGCCCCGGCACTCGGTTATAAGATGGCGGCGCTGAGCGGCGACGGAGGCGCGGAGCAGGGCCAGGCTCTGTTCAACGGGGACATGGAGCCCGAGGCCGGCGCGGGCGCCGCGGCCTCTTCTGCAGCAGACCCCGCCATCCCGGAGGAGGTGAGTGCCGGCGCCCTCTGCCCCCCTCCGGTCTCCGGGTTCGGCTGGCCGCTGTTTATTTTGTGTGAAGAGGTGGCGCTGGGAGCTCGGATGCCCTTAGCCACCTTCTGCTTTGGGCTCTGCGGGTGGGAGAGGGGCACCCCCCTCCACCCCCGTCCCTCTCCGTCATGCAGCTCCTTGCGACGTAAACACACACCGTGCCTCCAGGGGGGGTTCCCTGGCCCGCGCCCCGGCTTGGGGGATCCGGGTAGCGGCGCGGGAGCGGGAGGCTGTCCATAGGGGGCGAGCCTCAGCGTTGGTCCTAGAAGGTCACGGTTGGCTGCAGAGAGGCAGGCTCGCATCTCAGATGTTCTTGTTATATCGGGTCGGGGGGAGCAGGGGTGGGAGGCGGCGGCTTCCAGGTGGAAGATGCGGGGCCGGGAGCCAGGGCCGGCATCCCAGCCCGAGTTGCCGTGGTGTCTGTAATGATGACAGTGGTCATGGGGATGGATGATGGGGCGCATCCGTCTCGCTGTACTCTCCCTGACCGCCCTCTTTTTTTCAGGCTGCTGGCCTCTCTTCTACTTTTCTACTCCTTTGGGGATTTTTCACCTCGTATACCCAGCGGCTGCTTTTGCTTTAGTCTTGACTTTTTCAAACCTAAACACCACTGTTTCCGCTCTCCCTTCCATCCCGGTCTCCGTGCGCACCCCCCCCCCCGTCCTAATTGTGTCCGTGCTCTGTCGCCCTGTCCCTTTTCCATCTGCGGGGCCACTTGCCCTCGGACCTCAGCTTCTACTGAAGGCCGTTTTTGCACTTCTCTTACCCCAGTCGTCCTGAGGCCCTCGACCTCGTTCCACCGCTCCCTGACGTCGTTATCTGTTGTGATCTCCGCAAGTCCGTCTGGACTTTTACTTTCCGAACCCTGAAGCTGTCACGGTTCCATCAGGTTTCCCTTGCACGACCCGCACTTTTCGGTCGGTCTCCATTGTCCATTCTTTATTTATCATTGCCCATTTTTTTAAAAAATTAGGCTTTCTTTCTTTCTTTGCCCAGTTCATTTTTTTCACTGTTCAGCCCTTCTCTCAACCTGTTTTTGCATTATTAAGCCTTTTTAAAAATATCACTTTTGTCAGATTATTTACATTGTGTTTTTTATTCCGTAAAATTTATTTGAGGATTTGGCATTTTATTACGTAGACTTCACTATACTTTACAAATTTTGAGGTAATTTATGGTGTAACAACCGTGCCTTACAATTATTTAGATAATGTGGCTTACTCTGTTGACTTTGCTCAAAGTTCTCTTTCCTTCCTACTAGTTACATTTTGTTTCCAAACTCTTGCAATGTCTCATTCTTCTCTCTGTCTCTGCAATTCTTTTTCCTGCTTCATCTTGTTTACTTTGGAAATTCATCTGCTGTGCATGCCCTATTCAGTATCAGTTCATCATACTTGTTTTTTACCCTCTTATACCACCTCCATCTATGCCCATGAGGTGTCCTGTACCATCATTTGTCCTACTCTTAAATTTTCTCATATTTTTCTTCTTCCTTAAATAAATTACACTTTTCCCTACTTTACAGTTTGCACTTTCTCTAATATCTGTTCATTTTTCCCAGCATTTGGATTCTGAGGATAGAGTTCTTCCCTTCTTCCATTTCTTAGTTTATTCTGTTTTCCTTGTCCCTAGCTGCCATTCATTCTGCCTTGTTTCCTGGCTTTTGGTACTTAACTTGCTGAAGCTTCCTCTTGTCTTCCCCACACCTCCACATTCCTTCTTATTTATAAACAGCTTTGTTCCGTTGACATGGAAATTTATTTTTAGGATACATTGTTTTTGATGGATAAATACTAGGGGTCACATCTGCTGCCTATTTTTTCCATGAATCGGATATGCCTTTGTCTTAACAGGCACAGGTGCCTCTAGGCTTGCTTTACTTTATAGTGCATGTATGGTTTTGTTAAATTATATCTGGGAGAATAGATAAGTTAGTGGGTATAGGTTATGAAATTGCAGTTCTCTTACAGCATCATTTACATACAGAATTTTGTTTCAGTTATTAGAACAGATTGCAATGATATAGAGAAGGCTTTGTAAAGTAGAATCTCTGCTCTCTTGTTTGAAGGGCCAGATTGAACTCGACTACTCCCTGAGGATTCTGATTAGGTGAGAGCTGGAGGTTTCTCACCCAGGAGAGGCCATGGGTTTCTGCATTTGACACACTTCCTAGGCAGTTCTCACATATCAGTGCTTGAGAAGCTCTAGGCTAGATGAATTTAGGCTTAAATTGACAATAATTGGAAAGCATATCCTTACTTCCTGAAACCATAAGGATATTTTAATTTTAATTAGTTAGAAGTGTGTCCTGCTGCCTCCCTCGCCCAGGTTTTAATATTTAATCATGAATAGTAGTTTTTCCTTTATATGTTTTATAGGAGCTGATAATACATATTTGATGGGGGAGGATAAGTGATTAAAAATGGATCTCTTTTTAATATAAATTTCAATGACATGGATGGTAGAATAAATTTTCTTGAGATGTTATTTTAAATTAGACATTGGTTGTTAATTCAGTGGAAACTGAAATGTGCTGTGGTCTTTTGAGCTGTCTTCCTTATATGCATTTAAAGCGATATCTTGTGATTGCCATATGCATGGAAAGAAGTGAAAAATTGTGCTTGTGTAAAATGACATGTTTTATTCTAAAGATTTACCTTACCTATAGTAAACTATTAAGTTAAAATATATGTTTCCCAGGGAGGTTTGAGCTGCATTAAAAAATTTCTAATTAGAGGGAAAGCACATTTATTAAGTACAAAAAGTAAAAAAATCATCTCTAATCTTGCCACTAAGATATAATTACATAAACAATTTGATATACATACATCCATACACTCTTTTTTATACTTTATAATACAGTGTATGTGGTTTTGTAATATTTCTAACTTAACAATATAGCAAAATATTTTACCTGCCATTATTTTACCTGCAGTTTTTAAACTAAATATACTTTTAAAATATGAAATTGTTTCTAATTTTTTTTACTCTCGTTATCAAACATCTTAAACATGAAATTATGTTGGGAATTGAACAAATTGCATGTCCTGTATTTGTAAGTATTACTTTATAGATGCTCAAAATAGAATATTCTAGTAAATGAAAGGAACTTATTAAATATTTATCAAATGAATGTGCTTATACTTTTGGCATTAAACATTTACTTCTGAACATTTATATTCTCCTGCTGTTACTTTCTGTCTCTCTATGACCATATGGTACAGTGTGGACCAATATGACCGTATGGTATAATAAATACATTGAAAAAATGTGTTGTAACAGAGTATAGTATTTATTAACTATTCTTTTGCTGTGCATCTGTAGAAGGGAATGTCTTACAGTTGTACTGTTTTTAAGATCTCTTATTGCCAATCTTAGTTAAGTTGTGTACTTTTAATAATGCATTGACTAAGCGGTATTCTGGGATGGAATCTCCTTTATGATGAATTCCACTCTGTTAAAATATATTCTGTGAACCAGGCTAAACCAAGGTGGATTATGTCATACTCTTAATAAGTGGAAGTCCCACTAAGGTTATGTGCCTCTGCAGTTCTGGCTATTACTGTTAATACTTGCCTAGGTGTATTCAAAGATAGACAAAACATGCTTGTTAGGCAAAACTATAGAAAAGCTCTCTCTTTGGTATTTCTGTGCTCTTTCTCGTTTAATGAACTCCCTCTTTTAGTCATTTAGTCACTTCTTCTGATTCAGTCACTTTTATATGTTGATTATTAAAGAATTGATTGTTAGTAAACAGATAAGAAAGGAATGTCGGGACTGGGTGCTTAAATCCCTGAGTGTAGTAAATCTGAGAGCAAACTTGATTTAGTTGTATTTGCATAATAGGCTAGAAAAATTATATTAGGATAGCAGGCTAGAGAAGTCTGACTTTTCTTAATTCCCTGTCTCTTGCTTTCCTGATTACGATGAATTAGGATCCCACCTGTGTTCTATGAGTTTGGGGAGAGAGGGAGGGAAGCAGGTTCCTTTTTTTTTTTAGATTATTTTGTAAGATGATGCTTACCTGGTTCTTCCATGAAGGTGTTTTTTTCTTTAGAATTGCAAAAGTGCATTTTGTTTTCTTTGATAGCTTGATATTAATTTAGCTGAGTACTTAGTGGACTTTTTTGTCACAATCCTCTTGTTTTATGAAATCCAATTGTGTTCCTATGCTTCCTATATTTCTGCCTCAAATTATCATTAAAATAGCCTTTGTTATCAGTAGCCCTTAATAGAATTTTGTATTCCTCCAAACTTGAATTCGTTTAAGCTCTTTACTGATTCTCTTTGTCTAATTTATGTACATTCATTATTATGTTACAGAACTTCTGGATTCAAAGTAGGTGAGCCTATTGAGGAGCTTTTCTGGATTTTTAGGAGAACTGCTTTCATAGTTGTAATGATGTTACTACTCTAAGAACCAAAAAGGTCATTTAATTTCTTCCATTTCTTCCTTAAATATTTGGTGAAGGAATTGACATATTCTGGGAGGTAGTTTTTATTTTTTAATTTCTTTTGGCTACCAGTCTAATTTACTGTTATACATAATTAGCATGGTGGTCAGAAGAAACTCTTAACCTAACCTCCACCCTAACATTAAAGAATTAGTTTTCCTCCCCTCACCCACTGAGATTATTTTGGTTTCCATGTTTTCTCTTGGGCTTAAAAAACTATTATTCTTGTTCCATCCCATGGCATACATAGAGTGAGACTGATGCCCAGTAACATTCCATTTCTTTCTGGATCCTGGGAAAACCCTTGATAACAATATAAATATCACTCAGACCTCAATTAACTTTATATCTTCCAGAGGATCTGGTTGTGATTTGCACTTAAGGATTAAAAAACAAAAAATCAGGAAATGTGTTCATAGGGCATAAGTCTCAGACACCTGACTGGTACAGGGTCATGTGACAGCTGGGAAGGTAGGTGGTAGTCAGGCTTTTCTCTCCATGTCGTAA